ACAGACACTTAAATATAAGATGAGAATATAAGTTAAATAACGAATAAAATTAAATAAAAAATGAGAGAACATAGTCTTGGAAAGATCGTGTAAAAATAGTGGAAATAAATTCAACTATGTCGGAAGATAAGCAAATGGATTAAACGAAAATTTAATTAGAGAACCTAAATAATATTACGATACAGTTACTCCGAAAAGACAAACAATTTAGCTTAAACATGAATGGAGAGAGCTGAGTAACTGTAGAGGAAGAACTACAGTCCAACAATTCGAAGAAAAAAACACACCAAAGAGTTTGTTTTAAAGCAAAGCTACATTGGGCTATCTGCTGTATCCATCGGAGAATCGAACTCCGGATTTTAGCGTTGTAAGTCCGTAAATTTACCGCTGCACTACCGGGGGATAAAACAAAGAGAAAAACTGGAATGACAAGAAAAATTGAACATGGATACCAAAAATGATGGAAGATCAACAAATATAGAAGATAAACTGGGCTAACGAGAGAGATGGAAGAAAAACAATTATGTGAAAAATCCGTGGTTCGATTTTCGACTAATCTCAGCGTTCTAGCAATTTACCATATAACACGATACAAGTTGACTGATCTAATATTACAATTATAAAAATATCTGGGTGTTATTTTCTTCATTTAAAAACTCATTTGCTTAACAATTTTCAACAGGCCATCTCTGTTCTGCATTGTTTTTCTTGACCATCTCTTATTCACAATTATCTTGAAAAAGTTGACAATTGAGTAGCCCTGCTGACTTTAGTGCTTATTTATGTCTCCATCTTGTTTCATTAAGTACTCACTTCAGGAGTTAAATTTGTCATCTTGTTTCATTAAACACTCACTCCAGGAGTTAAATTTGTCATCTTGTTTCATTAAACACTCACTTCCAGGAGTTAAATTTGTCATCTTGTTTCATTAAATACTCACTTCAGGAGCTACGTTTGACATTTTGTTTCATTAAATACTCACTTCAGGAGTTAAATCTGTCATCTTGTTTCATTAAATACTCACTTCAGGAGTTAAATTTGTCATCTTGTTTCATTAAATACTCACTTCAGGAGTTAAATTTGTCATCTTGTTTCATTAAATACTCACTTCAGGAGTTAAATCTGTCATCTTGTTTCATTAAATACTCACTCTAGGAGTTAGGTATGCCAGTTGTTTTCATTAAATACGCAATTCGCGAGTTAGGTTTGTCATCTTGTTTCATTATATAAACACTCCAGGAAATAGGTATGTCATTTATTTTCATTAAATACTCCAGGAATTAAGTTTGCTACCTTGTTTCATTAAATACTCCAAGAATTAGGTTTGCTACCTTGTTTCATTAAATACTCCAGGAATTAGGTTTGCCACATTGTTTCATTAAATACTCCAAGAATTAGGTTTGCTACCTTGTTTCATTAAATACTCCAGGAATTAGGTTTGCCACATTGTTTCATTAAATACTCCAGAAATTAGGTTTGCTACCTTGTTTCATTAAATACTCCAGGAATTAGGTTTGCCACATTGTTTCATTAAATACTCCAGGAATTAGGTTTGCTACCTTGTTTCATTAAATACTCAAGGGGTTAGGTTTGTGATCTTATTTCATAAAAGCACTTGACTCTCTAGTTCAGAATGATTAAGCGGAGAAGAGACTAATTTTGTAAGTTTTCATCTTCAAGCACAAGTTGTCATTACGATCTTGTAATACTCTACCGATGTTTGTATAATAGCATGTGTTGTAGATAAAGGCTTCTGTTTACATTATGCCTGAAGCAGAGACATTAGTGTATATATATGGAACACCTGTAACGTTAGTTTCATCCGGCATCAAATTACTTGCATCAAACCTTCGCTTTTCTTTGTTTTGTTGAAACTTAGAATATAAACATTGAAAAAGGAATAATTCAGAACTGGAAGAAACATAAAAACAGCAACATTATAACATTTCAAAAGAAACTACAGTTTTGTAATTATAAAACTTTGTATGCTAGAACGTTCTATAGTATATATATTTATTTCCTGGGTTGGCAAATGCTTATACATTATTTGGCACTAAAAACCTGCGTAATGATACTCTTTTGTTTTTCTGTCTAGAAAATCTCAACGTTTGAAATAATTATTATTTTCCTTAACATTACAAATAATAAATCGCTATCAAAATGTTTAAATATAATTATTACACAAACATTTCTATATATCTGTAATTATAAAACAAGTCATTGTTCTGTATTATATGGCACTAGATACATCTGATACCGTCGTTTATAAGGGCATGACTGATTTGACGTCTTTAGGCTTCACTGGTCCCCAGACAACTGATAGAGAGTCCCTCCCCCCAACACATACACAAGAAAATCGAAAATGAATTATGTGTAGCATTGGAATGGGTCTGTTTGTTGCTTGACAGACGATGTTATATACAAAAGTACTAGTGAAGGGAATCATATATGCGCTATTTGTTTATTCGTGTTTGAACAGACCTTAGATACCGCTCACTCAAAGTTAAGGATTGATTGCTCTCTTCCATTCCGTGAAGGCGTGACCATTTGGTCTGTTTCAGAGTTCCGAGCAAATCTACAAAAGGGTTATCAGCGCAAAACTGTCCCTATATTTAAACTGATAGACGAGAGTAAAGACAGCTAATTAATAGCTTTGACTGTCTCCCTTATAGCGTACCCAAAGTGTTGAGCGAGTTTTTTGCAGGAATGGGTCACGAACCATGAATTGCCGGATTCACAGTCCGGGCATGTTAACAACT